CCTGAATCAAGCATGGCAGGATCGTTGAAAATTAAGATGCTGAAAGATCCTTCAGATTTGTCTCAGGAAATTGGGATGGATGAGTGGATTAAACAGTAACTTGTAAAGGTCTTTGCTAAATCCTTGCATTTTCTTATCCAGATCCTGACTAGAATTTATACTGTCTTGCAAGGTTTGAAAGCGCATATTCTTGAAAATTTCTGAACAAAATTCTGATTAAATTTTTGCGGAATTAGTCAATCTCGTATTCTGACTGATCTTGTTATTTTCTTGCCAAGATCCTCGAATGGTGTGACTACCAATCCTGACAGCATCTTGATACAATGATTTGACTTAAGTCCTGACGAGAGCCTGATAAAATCTTGGCAGAATCCTTTTTAATAATCTTGAGAGGATTCTTGATACGTTCTTGAGTAAATCCTGATAGAATCCTGTAATCTCAACTGAGAAAAAAATATCTGAGTAAGAACTTGAAGAAATCCTGAACAGGATCTTGTTTTACCTTGAAAAATCCTAGAAACAGAAATTACTAGGATTCGAAACAGGATCCTCAATAGAACTTGCCAAGATCCTTGAGCTTCAAGATCCTGAAAGTTCCTCTCAAGGTTTCTCAAGGAATGAACAGGATTCAGACTAGGGTAAGTACTTTAACCACTTTCAAGTTTTTACCTACTGTATATATATGTACAAACACCCAACGATCTATTCAGCCCGGCTTGATAAAAGCAGTTATCATCTGAAATTGACGTCCATGTGAAAGTGTTCCCAATATTGTAATAATATGTTCAAGGGCACAGAATACCACTCTGTTAAATAAACTGATATTTTTTTCTACAATCTTCCTAGAGAATCCCCAATTTCCTAGTCGTTTTTCATTCTTTTCTGTTTTATCTAATACTAATTGAGGATACAAAGAACTTTCATTGACATTTAGAATAGATGTTGCCATCAATACTGATTATCGTCTATCATTCGGTCCGAATCTTCTACTACGATTGGTGTAGCATTTGATGGTGATAATGATGGCGGTTGGTTTTGGTTGATTTTCTTACTAATAAATACTGTTGGATCAATGCTGTTTGATTGTCGTTTGTTGTGACCGATGCTAAAGTTCTTACGCATATGATCTGCATGCAGAAGAAACAGTACTTCCAGTTCTTGGCGAGCAGATTATATTTGTTGTTTCATTACAAGATTTGAATCTGGAATAAGGTTAACCATTGAAAGTAATACATTCTGTAAAATTTTTGTGAATGTTGAATTGATTGTGCACAAACTAACTCGGTGTAATTGAATATTACTCGAGTTAATATTGATTTTCCCATCTAATTTTTCCAAAATCATTTTTTTTAATTGAATGCATTTCATTGTTTACATCTTGATTCATCTTCCCCAGCATGGAGGTAATTAAAGTGCTGAAGAAGGTACTGTTGTTTGTTATTAATTGCGAGTTTGTACGTGGCCATATATTATTTTCTACCATTTTTGTGTTGTTGTTGTTGATCGGTAATGGAGGATAATCAATATTATAACTTGATCCCGGATGAGATACTTGATGTTGATGATGAAGTTGAACAGTTCTTCTATTAAGTGTACCGTCCCTTACTGCTTGTTTAACTTCTTAATTGAGTTTTTACGGTAGTTTTGCATGTATTCACAATTGGGATCGAGTGAATGATGATCGAGCCCGCATTGTGCACAACGAGAATTACCCGAACATTTGCTGATATGACCTTGATCGAAAATCTCAAGACAAGTTCAACATTTACGCACATTTGAATTACAAGAAGTACGTAAATGACTGATTTGCTAGCAATTGATGCAGAAAGTTAATTTTGTTTGCTGGCAAATATCTTGTAATTGGATGAAGACGATTTGCAATACATAAACGACCTGTTTTTAATCCACCTTCATATTCAGCTAAATCGGATACTGTGAATCTTATATCCTTTGTAGGACGATTAAATGAATACATAATTTGTTTGAATTGTCGCCAGAATTGATTGAACGTTTTATTTCATCAGCAACATTTTGAATTGAAAGCTCATGGGAGACATATCGTTTGTCCGTTCGGGCAAGTTTTGAATAATTTTCCGTGTTATTAACACCTACTTTTAGACGATGTCCTACAAATAGAGCAACAGAAATACTATTTATATCAGTATTGTTTCTGTTGATATGGATTTTGATTAAATCACAAGCAATAATTGCTGATGGAAGATTACGTGAAGTGGCACTATTGTCAAATATGATCACAAAACAAGGAAGATTGCAACCAACTGCTCTTTTCAGATGATCCATTGGAATGCTTTACGATTTGTTGATATTTATTTTTGTTGCTGTCGTAGTCTGCCGATAATTGGAAGACATCACCTTTAATTTTGAACCTTGAGATGGCGCGTTTCCTTTAGATGAGAGCCTACTTGTTTGTTGCTGACAGTTACCATCTTCATGTCTATTTATAGTCTTTTTCTTCCGTTCATTTGATCTATTCAATTGCTCCGTACTCCATTGAGGCATTGAATTTGACTTATTCAGAAGATAGTAGAAGTTATCAGGTGTTGGGTGTGGGTGTGTGGGTGTGAGTGTGGATTTGAACGATAGCAATAACGCCCACACCCACACCCACACCCACACCCACACCCATCCAGCTTTTTTTTCAAGATTATAGGGTGTGGATATGTGTAAGACACGTATCGCTAATAACACGCACACCTTCTACCTCTCTACTTGCAAATTCATTGTGAATCGTGTTTCATAGTAGAACAAATAAACAAAAAAAATCAGTACTTTGTTTTTTTTTAGATTTTCTCGATGTTTTTGAGCTGTATTTTTACTGTAGTAATAGTTGCTTTATTGTTGAAGTCATTTTTCGCAACGGCCACTTTCTATAATTTGATCACAATTAACAATATACGCCATAAAGAAAAATATTCTTAGATTTCAAACTAGAATTCGTACAATAGTGGTTCAAAAAAAAAACTAAATGATAAAAATGAATGAATATAATTTGAATAATAAGCCGACGAAGAAAATAGAGATGTTTATTGTACTATCATTCTGATAATTATGATTGTGGTATCGTAGAGATGAACTTTTAAAAATTTAAAGCCTCACACTGGTATATGTTACTGAATACATCTCTTGAACTATGCACAAATTTGAAGCCTTACTCTTCGCCTAATCCACATCTATCCTACTCTTGAAAAAAAGAGATAAATATAGCATATGCTTTGTGACTATGACCAACGTCAGTTGATTAGATCTTGTTGTCTCTCTTTCTCGAAATATTCATGTATGTAATTAACTCATTATTACTGATTGCTAATATCACGGTTTTAGCATTAAAGCATTGCTACATGATTTTTTTCGTATATCTACTAAGAAATTATAAATATGAAAATGAAGATAGATTTTATGGTTAATTGTCATCATAATTTAAATACTCCAGTTTGAGTTAGTAGAACATATAATTGACAGTTTGAATCATATTCTAATAGATAAATTATTTCATGAAACGAACTTTGGAATGCATAAGTGTTTTGAAACGTCAACAAGCATGTATTGACCTTGTGGTTGATACGAATAACATGAGATTATCCATTAATGACGTTCAAGACTGAGAAATTGCTTTTTTGAAAATGTTCTTTATATTCAATTGAACTAGAAAATTTCTTCAACTATTCTTATAAGCATTTCGATGTCCAAATTCGCTTGGCATTACCCGCTTTTCTCTTTCCAAAAATATCAAGTTTCTTGTTGAATCTTTTGCCCCTTCTTTTGCTGGATGTTCTTTATCTATGGCTTCACTGTAAGAAAGAAAAATCGAGACCTATGCATACACTTTTCTTGTTTGCATAACCAACGCGATCACTATAACTTTGTTTTTTTTTCTTGCAGTTGCGAATTAAAAAACGTGTTTTGTTTTTCTAATTTTGCAGTATCAAACAACTCAGGTAGACCTAATAACACATATTTGTTTGTTTTTTCAATATTTTGTGCGCTCACACATGTTCTATTTTCAATGTAAATTAACGTTTCAATAACTCAACCAATTAAGATTCTTTTTTTGTAGCTGTTCATGTAATAAATTCTAGATCTAGTTCGTGTATCATTAATTATAGATTTGTAAGTTTCAAATGGGTTAACATTTATCTACTATTAATTCACAAATATTTGACTTACTTAAATTAAAGTATTCTACTATCAATTCATCTGAAGTCATATCTTGTATTGGTCCAGAAGATATTCATTTATTTTTATCTCCAAAACTTCATTCAGATAGAATCACTGATCAATGTTAACTATCAAGACAATCAATAAAACAAATTCAAAATTATTTATATCTTTTAGTAAGTAGACCCGAATTCGAAATAACTGATGTTCAGATGGATAACATATTTAAATTCATGAGCAGTGATTATCAACACAATACAAGATATAAATAATAATTTTGAAAACCAAGAACAATTAAAAATATCCCTTTTCAATAAAATAAAAGATAATAATGATAATAAGCAACAATCTTCAATTACATCAACACTTTCTGCTTTAATTAAATCAGCTGAAAAACTTTTTTCAAGTAAAATTCATCTTTCACATGCATCAAAAACAGATTTATCATCATCCAATGATCGAAATACTGAAAAACAGTTAGAAATAAATTTACGCATATTTTTAAATTCAAAAGCATCATTCAAAGAAATTCTATCCGTCTTAAATCAGCTTCTATTCTATATACAGCCAATGTTCCTAATAAGAACAGTTTTTTTGGAGCTGTCTGTAATTTCTTTTTTATTAAGTCATTTCTAATAATAATAAAAAAACTTTTACATATTTGAGGGCAGACATGTCTGCAGCATCGAATGGTGTAAAAATTAGCTAATTATCTCGAAAAATAATTNATAATTAGCTAATTTTTACACCATTCGATGCGGCAGACATTTCTGCACTCAAATATGTAAAAGTTTTTTTATTATTATTAGAAATGACTTAATAAAAAAAGAAATTACAGACAGCTCCAAAAAAACTGTTCTTATTAGGAACATTGGCTGTACATAATGTTTATGATTTAACGAAATATTTTTTCACAATTCACTGATAATTTTATAGCAAATCGTTCTGAATAGAAACAAGGACAAATGATAAACAAAAATACAACATTAAAATAAACAACAGATTAAATTTTATATCATCAAAAAATTCAGATTTTCATTATCATTTTTTTTTTGAAAATTTTCAGATGCAAAATTATTAACTCATTTAACTTCAATGAAAGCATTTCCTAATATTCGACTTCGAAACACGCAAATAAAACAACTTACTGGAAAACTTGTTTCACTCTTCATATTTACACATATCGATTTTCATAATACAATCAATACTAATAAACAAGTGAACTCTAGTTCAATTCATAATTGAATGTCATTCGATTTTCATCCAGATACCGATGAACAATAGTTTAATATTATCCAACAATTATCAGCAATATCAACGCAAGATTTGAATATGAATCTAATATACTTATTATTTGTTTGAGATTATTTACAGTTAATGGTAGAATAACAACCGATCATATTAATAAAGATATTAATTTTAGTGAGTTTAACATTTCTAACGATGATCTACAAAAATGGTATGATACTGTATTAAAATTAGCTTGTCAAGATAATGAAAAGCTAAAAAGAAATAATTTATAGTCTAGGATGTTTTATTCAAATTCTCAATAAAAAAGTATCTTCATTTACAGAAAAATTATCTTTTATTCATCAATATATTATCGAAAATAAATATTATGTATATTGATTAAAGAATTATTATCAGAAATCAATACCAATACATCATTATTTAATTGGATTGAAATTTTCTGTCATGATAAATTAGAAAATACAAATACATTGAATGTATTATGTTCATTTTTGAATATTTATTTTAATACTTAGCATGACATGAAACCAAAGTAAAAGAATTAATTTAACAAACAATACAATGATTTCAACAACTTATTTTCATGTGATTATCACCAACATATTCCTGTGCCAATGAATATATTTCTTATATTAAATAATTTCAATGGTAAACCAGAAACGGTGAATGATTTATTAAGGCCCGCCCTCTCTCAGAAAATCTATTTTTTTGTAATGTGATGATAATTGAGTTTTGATCATAGGAAGATGCAGGGTGGTGGGTGTGGGGTGTGGGTGGACGTGGGCGCGTGAGTATGAGTAGTGGGTGTGCGTATGAGTGTGGGTATCGATACTGAAGAGTATGACATCAATATCCACGCCCCACACCCCGCACCCACACCACACACTCACACCCACCCACACTCCGTAGGTGCATTGTACTGTTGATGAATTTCTGTGAACGATGGATAAATACGTAATTCTGTACAATTAGGCAAGATCATTCCCATTTCAGTTAACATGATAGTTCTGCAAAAGACAAGACTCAAATGAGAATGTCGCGCCAGGCAAAGTTGTACTACGGTTTCAAAATATTTATCTTATCTTCTATGATTGCTTAAGAGAAAGAACCGAATTGTACAACACATATGTCAGATACGAGGAAAACAATTTGCATAGATCTCCATGTCGTGAGATAAAACAATAATTTTTATGTCTTGTCTCGTGGACAGACTTTACTATTTTTCTAGAAACCGTATTCATGAAACAAGAATACAACGATTTATTTTATATCTTAAATAATTTCGAGTTGTATGAGTAACAGAAAAGCAAAAACAAACCGATGCCATCTATTTCTTGATCATGTTTCATTGCGCTTGTTATCATTGATCGAATGGAATTTTCTCAATTCGACTTATCTCCATTGATGAGTAATATCATCGTTTCTTACTGAAAAGATTTGTTCTATTCGAAAATTCGCATAGCACTTCGGATAATCGAGTAGTTCAAAGATTGTCATTCAACTCTCTTTCAACTAACAGTTATACTTTTTTCCGATCAAACAAATTTTCGATTAGCATTTACATTGTAAATTCCTTTTCATTCATTTCTTAAATGAATCTACAGTGTAATATTCTAATTTATTCATATCATAACAGTGTTAGCGTGTGGGTGTGGGATGTGATGTTCTTTTGTAACTTCATCAACAGTTATATATTGAAACTCGGCTTCACTCAAAACTGCATCCGCTGCAGCTACCTCCATTAAAGCTATCATGTAATCAGATAGCAGTTCATCTTTAAGTATTATATTATCGATATCGTACTCCTCTTTGAGTACCCAAACACCACCCTTGATAGTGCGATCTGTAGAATCGTTTGACATTGAGTTTCTTATGTTGTCGAATATATCTATGTATTGTCGTATTACNNCACCCACACGCACACCCTCACCCACACCCACCCACCCACCGCACCAACACCCACACCCACACCCACATCCCACCCACCCACACCCTAATCGAAGAATGACCATCAGCTTTATTACATTTTTTATTATTACAGCTAATCTAAATAGATAAAAAAAGAGAGAAAATTAGTTTTTTTCTTATTCAACTTATTAAGAATAGATCATCATCAACAACACTAATAGAGCTTAATTATTCATTCGTTTCATATTTCATGTAAACAAAGCGTCTGTTCTTACATCTATAAGCATACATGTAGAGTAACTATCGGCTCGTCATGTTAAAAGTATGGGAAAGGTTTCATCATGGATGGAGACTTACTAAAATCAATTTTTTGTTTTATATTTCAAATAAAAAAATCTTACATAAACTATTTGTTGTTTTAATTTTGAATCTTTTCTATTTCTTTTTTTTATTAAAAATGCTTTTGATGAACTTGAACGTTTTAACTTTGGATCAGCTGTCGAACGATGTAAACGATTTGCTAATGATGATGATGGATGTTCAGATGAACCAGCAGGTGTCTATTGTATACAACATGAATATAATTCTGACCAAAAACGTAAATTAGATATGGAATATATGTGGTAAAGAACCTTAAAAAAATAAAATATTAGATAAAAATATTTTTTGTTTTTTTTTTACTTCTTTTCTTGTTCCATGAAATGAAGGATTAATAAATTGTGTGGATTGTGTATTAAATATACTCCAAACACTTGATTTTTTTGCTTCTACATTAGCTGTTGTTTGTTCAATATCTGTATTACATGAAAAATTTTCATATAAACAAGAATACGTATATGTAGCTAATTCACGCTAGAAAAAAAGGATTTTTCAATTAAAACCAATATGTTTTCGAATCTTGCAAGAAATATTTCATTAAATTGAAATACAATTTAATTTTGCAACATTAGCTGATAAATACAATCTAGCCATTGAAGAAAAACAAGATTACGTTCATTTTAATCATTTGCATCAACATCATGATTACAGTGATGACCAAATTTATGTCCAAATTGAATCCATTCACGTTGCACTAAGATTTCAAAACCATTTATTGTTCAAATAATGTGAATCAAGCATTATTTCAGCTAATGTGATCATTGTTGATGTATGATCTTGACCATTTGAACAATGTACAAGCACTGATCGATTATGTTCATCAACATTAGTAACAGCACAACATGCTGCTTTAATTAATACTGATAAATTGTGTAACCAATGTGTTAATGTTAGTTCTGAAAGCCAACTAGAAAACAAAAGAGCTTTTTTATCTTTGAAATACTAGCTTTTTTTTATTATTAAACTTACTTTTCACATTGTGTTGTATTACTAGCACGTAACATTCGTGCATTTCTACTTATAGCATGAATATCAGGCAAAGCCATAAATTCTAGATTACAATTAATATGATATTTGGCATAATTTTTAATAGCAGCATCATGACTTCCTACATGAAGAATTAACAAACGATTTAAATTTTTTCCACCTTTAAATATAAAATTTTACAAAAAAAAATATGAAGTTTTTTTAGTTAAAAATTATTTACTTTCAATAGAATTTGTTGTTAATGTATCATTATGTGAATTAATAATAGCTTGAATCATGTTTTCATCTTCTTTTGAATGCCGAAGTGGCCAACCGACTTCGGGTTGACCTACTCGAGCAATAATTGCACCATTAATATGTCTAAATTAAATAAGATCTTCGATAAAAAAAAGGAACTACAATTTGAAAAAAAAAATTTTTTAACTCTGATCCTGTACTATCTACCCTTCTCATATTAAACAATATAATAAAATAAATTATGTTTTATGTTGTTACACTGTTTAATCTCATTTGAGAGTGCAGTATTTTCTCTTTCGATAGGATAATTCAAAACTTTGAGGCTGATGTTTATACTAAATTTTACCTCCAAACAATTGTTGGAAATTGTTTATATGATCTAAATTTGGCTGCTTCTCTAATTTCTTCATTAGTTATAGTAGATGGTACAACACAATATTTTGGATAACTAGGACATAATTCTTAATTTTGATTAATTTCAGTTAAATGCCATGGATATGTATCTAATTGTAAACGTATTAATTCATCATTAAAAGGATCACGATATAAATGTTCATTGTTTCGTGTATCTGATGTAAATTTAGTTGCAAATAAATCACTTAAATATGTTGAAACTGTATGGATTTCAGCGTATTTTCTAAAACAATAACGAAATTTGTTTTCTGTAAATAATGTGAAACGAAATGAACATATATCTTTGTATTGTATATATATATATATATAAATGAATGGTATGGATCCCTACACGACGGCAAAGAACATAGTGAAATAAGAGAAACAATAACGAGGCACAGTGGTTTGCGTTGCCGGTTTTGGGAGGGACTGCAGATAACTTGGATATTGAAAGATAGAAAAAATTATTCACCGTCAAATGATATTTTTAGTTTTCTATAAAAAAAGTACTGTTAAAAAGGTATTGCAGATGGCGCTATTAATCTTTACATGATTGGTTGAACACATCTCAACATTGAGTCATTTTACATCATTTCTCTAAGAAATATTTATCATCATTTAGATAAATTTGAATCCACATAAAAAGAATATTTACTTTTCAGAAGATTTTTCTTAGATATATGAATGTATTTCTAAGATGACATGCACGTTTTCTCTTCATAATAATATGTTTATTTTTGAAAATTTAGAGTATGAGCCAGGTTTTGAGATAATAGAAATGTTTTGGTATTGAAATCATTTATTTAATATAAAAGTTTAAAACTAGTCATGAATTTCTGTAGGTATAGAAAACAATTAAAAATATGAAGAGATTGATAAAAAGGATAAGGTACCTTGTAGAAAAAAAATTTTTTCACAAACTATACAAAGGCTTATACAGGCTTTAGAAAAAAAAAGAATAATTTATTTACATATGAATCGATCAAAAATTTTAACCCCGTACCGACCCAACAAACTATACATCATCAGAAACAGCTTGAAAAGTTGAATATGAAAATCTAATTTTCTCAGATGGATACTTCGAAGCAGAGTGTTTAATAAAAATCTGAAACAAATTATATGTAGGTACTTCGTTTCACTTGACAAAATATCCGTTGGTATTTTGCTATTTAGAACAAAGTACCTGAAAGTATCACAGTAATGAACTGATTTAAGAAAAACAAAAATAAAGTTCTTACTATTCGATCTTTTAATGAAAAATATATTCCTATATAAAAAAAACAATATAGGAAAATAAGTAATATATAATAACAAAAGGGTGTGGGTGTAGATATGGATGTGGATATCGTGTTGTCTAGCAACTAACACCAACCCATCCCTGCCCACGGAGTAAAAAAATTTTAAAAATGGCATTAAAATGATCAAACGAAGACAAATATTGATATATTTCAAATGCATTGATAAAAGTGTACATTTTCATGGGTTTCATTGCAAGATTTTGATTCAAAACCAAATTCACTGTATTAACTTCATAAAAATGTCGCTTTTCATCAATGAACTTGGAAAACATAATTTTTTTTGTCTGTTCCATCATTGAAAATACCACATTTTTCTTGTTTTTCACATCAATCTCACGAAACTCATGGAATTTTTTTTGATTTTTTCATTCCATATGTACACTCAGACCCTACACTCATGCATACCCACAGTTTATAATCTTCACTACAAAACTTATCGTGAGAGAATTACAAGTTTCATTTCATCGATAAGCCATATTGGAGTTCGTCGAATGCAGAACATTCAAAACTCAAGTCGAAATATTTGACATAGATATTTAGGCACCATAGCTTTGTAATAGTTCCCATTCGCGAAAAGAGAAAATTATTTATCGTTTGATGAATAGATAATAACGCGTAATTTTCAAGTTAAGATAACACTTCTGCAGATGGAAACTTCTCACTAGAAACTAAAACAATCGTTTTGACAGTTTTAGTAACAATTTTCGAAGTAATTTTTATCTCAAATGGCCATTCATTGCTCTTCAATATAAATTTATATGTCAAAGATCCAAATTAATATGGTTGTTTCTTCTTTTGCAGAATATACTGAGCTTTCTCTTATAGTAATAGTTCACCTTGATTAATTATTCTTCTATCTGCAATGAACGTTCACCAAAAATGTGACTGTCTAATTTTGTCTAAACTTCCCTGGAATTTCATAGATGAAATCCAGTCTTATACCGCTTTTCGATTTCAAACAAAAAAATTTATTTCGTNATGCAGGAAATAATGGTATATTGATAATATTTATATGGAATTTTTGAAAGCACGCAATAGATGGCGTAGGCTAGCACTACAGGCCGTACTATGAAGATTCGCCCCCCCCCCCCCCTCAGAAATTTCATTTTTTGGTAAAATAATCGATATCGAGTTTTTATCATAGGAAGATGCAGCGAAGTTTTCTCTTTCAGAATATATATAAATTTAAAAAAAACGTCAAATTTTTACAGATTTTCGTAGAAGATTTCCACCTCACTATCCGGTTTTCGGAGAGACTTTCGCGGTATTTGTAGTTTTTGGGAAGACTACTTTTTTACTTCTATCAGCATGGAATAAACATTCTTATATCATATAGTACGGCCTGTAGTGCTAGCCTACGCCATCTATTGCGTGCTTTCAAAAATTCCATATAAATATTATCAATATACCATTATTTCCTGCATTTGAATGAAAAATCCATTTCTAAAACTTCTCTAGCGTTTTTCTCAGAACATGGTTTCCGATTAAAAAAATTGAAATAACTTTCACCCAGCTCAAGATATACCCAATATTTCTTTTTGTTTTGAAGGTCTCAATAAGGGTAAACTTTTGTCTGAACAGATTTTTTATAATTGATTCCTGGTTTGAGAAAAGTGGAATTTATTGTCGCTGGATCACCGTTTTTCGTGCTGATTTTAAGACATGTCTACTGGAATATTCATAAAAAATGAACAATATAGAATTTAAAAATTCTATTCAGATAAAACTTGTCTACTGACATTAGCTTTAATTTGAGACCACCCCGATCTCTATACCTCGTGTTACAGTGGAGTTATATCCATTCTCCTGAAGGCCTATAAATCAGCTGGAAATCTGGCCCAGTACAATCGATCGAGCTGAGATGTTCACCAGAAGCGTATCTCATCAGGATTACTCATCCCTGAAAATTTCAGCCCAAACGGACCATTCGAAGTGGCAAATCGTTTCTGAGGGAGGGGGGCCTTAAGCATAGCGGAGATAATTAATTTTTTGTCTGTTGAATTACTCTCTGGACACCCCATATACCTCAAAAGTTGAGGAGGCGCTGATAGGGCTCCGTGGCAGGGGGAGAGGAGGGTAGATGATATGATCACGTCCGGTTAATTTTTGAATCATCCGACAAGGGTGCAGCCCAAAGGCATGTCTAAAGCTACCCCGAAAAGCACAGCATCGCCGGCAGTTGGACGCGCGACTTTATCAATAGAAATAGGTTGGGTATGAGTGTGAATCTTCTTTTCGTTTAATACTCACCCTCTTGTATTGATCCGTCGACTTCACTAAATAACATTTAAAGAGTTTTTTCTATGCTATCAGCTATGAAAGAAACGCGGAAATTACAAGCATTTTATCTAACATATATCTGAAGCATACACGGTTGTGAATCAAAGGCATATATTTGATTCTTTCGTAATGAAGTAAATTGGTCGAATCTTGGAATCGTATAACTTTCATTCATAGTTACTATTCGGAATCTTTTTGAGAATCAATTTAGTTGGAGTCACAAGCAGCTGATGAACTGATAAGAGTGAACAGAGAATAAATGGAATCAGTCATTTCTTTTTTAAATGAAATATACCTGATTATGCTGTCAAAGAATATTATATATATGGGTGCGATCAACTGGGAGGAGACCCCATTTCGATACACTCCTATTGTACGGATAAAACATAATATTGTTCGGGTCATATAAGAGAGGATTCTAGATAACCCTGGATTGATCCGAACAACATCATGTTTTATCCGTACAATAGTAGAGAAAAGCTGCCAACTCACACGATAAGCTCGTAGCTTTTCTCAGCTATTGTACGAATAAAACATGCTGTTGTTCGGGCCAATCCAGGGTTATCTAGGATCCTCTCTTATATGACCCGAGCAATAGTATGTTTTATCCGTACAATAGGAGTGTATCGAAATGGGGTCTCCTCCCAGTTGATCGCACCCATATATATATTGTCTCCAAATATATTGAAGATGATTAGCATTTCTATGAGAACAAGAAACAAAATGGTTTAGTTTCAGTTTTTAAATACTATTCTCAAATGCTATCATTTAAAAGTTTAGTATTGGTGGCAAAACAACAAAATACTCTTGCACATGTATTCGCACTTCGCATTTAAACACGAGAATACATAAGTTGCACATGAATGCGTGAAAAGTCCCTAAGCTTAAATTAACTCAACAAATGAAAAAATGTTAATCGAGTTAAAATGGGTCTGGATGTTGGTGTGCGTGTGTGACAAACAAGAAGAACTACATCCACATCCACAATCACACTCACACTCACATCCTCAAGCTTGATTCTCTTGGCAGTTAAAAAAGTTTTAGATTTTTTTGAGTCTAGTTCCATAATTTGGCATGCTTCATGTTTATTTGCTGATAATATATAGAATTGACCACTAACGCTTATTTTCCTCTCCTGGTTGAGCTGGAAGTTAATGACGGCTGTTTGAAGATACTACGAATGTATCTACTTTAATCGTGATTTTCTGAAAGTTAGAGCTTTAAAATGTGTTAGTGTAACTTTAATTTTTAGGTTCATGCTTATATGTTGTATGTACTCCAAAATCAACAAGAGCACGATCGTGAACTGTTCGGTCAGGACTCCGAACTCAAGTTCGAGTTAGCTGCTTACCTATTCTTGACAGGAACTGACTTTATCAAATGACAAGTATATATAACCGGTTATAAATAGAAATTGGAATGTCTTCACTTAGAATTTGTCCTGGTTTTTACTATGGACAAAGCAGCAAATACATGCGAATATAAGTCGCAATCGATTATGCTCTGCTGTGAGTAACAGAGAATGACACAAAAATGGAAGAAACTGTTAAGTTAGTGTTGCTATTTTTTTCTTCTCCCTCATTCTCTGCCAGACGGTAAGTTGAACAGGCTGTGAGTGAAAATGCTATATCAAAGGTGTAGATATGTGTGTATGAAAAGAATTCCGCCAACTACGCCCATATTCACACTCACGACCAATTCTCATGTTAACTATTTATCTACATATATCGTGTCTGTAGTTATCTTTTTGTTGCTTTGTTATTATAACGCTTACTAGCCAATACCTTTAGTTTATACTTTTATCTAAACTTCTTTCCAAATATCTTCAAATGCTTAAGGAATAAATATCAGCATACGAAGAAAAAGAAGTCTCTTATCATATTCACTTAACTTAACCCATGTTGCATTCGTTTTCGTTTTCTTTGTTTTCACCCATTTAGCAATATTTACAAGCTGTGCAAAGATGTCCGAACCCCCAGCAACAACAACAGGTGCATCGCTATCAACAGAAAAAGATGCAGTAAATAACAATGCAACTCTGTCAAATAGGTCAGATGGAAAAAAATTTGAAGGTGATGGAGTTTCATTTAGAGGTAAACTTATTGGTACGAAAGATTTGCCAGTTGATCGTGATGAAAAAATTTGTCTCGATTCCATGTTCATATTAAAATCTCTTGCACGTGCTCATGGTGACCATAAGCAAAAAATTCAATTAAATTTAACGATAACGGCTGTGAAAATTATTGATGATGCCACTAAAGTATTTACACAAACCGAATTCATTTATTCTAAAATCGTATTTTTCTTTTGTACATCATAGGCACAAATTGCTAGTCATGAACTCGAGCGTATATCTTTTGTTATCATTGATCCACGTGATTCACGTGCATTTGGATATATTTATAATACATCTGACGATCGTTATCAATTTTGGGCTATAAAAACTGAACGAGCAGCTGTTGCGACCGCAATTGTATTAAAAGAACTTTTTGAATTTGCCTTTGAACAATTCAAAAATGCTGAAGCAACGAAAGAAGCTAATCAAACAATCGTAACGGGAACACAGCCTCCACCCACGTCATTGCCACAAGTAATGTCTCCGGTGAAGATTCCACGAGAGTCAGAATGTAGGGTGTGATGTGTGAGTGTGTGTACTTACCCAGGTCGATCATTCCGGCTACCGAATACTGCAGGAATCGGCAGGAAAATGTGGGAAAAATCACTGTATCTTGCAGAAAAACACGGGAAATAGCCGGAACATGAAGACAGCATTTCTGTCGGAAATTTCCCGGATTTTTTCTCTGTGAATTCCGATCAATTTCCTGTGTTTTCCTGCCAGAACCGGCCCGTAATTTTCGACCTGGGTATATGCATGTACTTCGGAAGAGTAACGCATTCACATTCACATTTACATCCATACCCCTTCCATTGAACAATTTTAGAAGTAGACATTTGTCCCACTACTTTTCTACCGGATATCGTTTTAAAAGCAATAACTCAAAGATTTCATAAGACCTCATAAGATTTCAACAGACTTCAAGAAAGTTCATAAAACTTGATTGAACTTCAAGACCGAAGTGTCTACTATTCTTTCTTGGCTTAAATTGGAATTTCTTCATTGAGGATTGCATAACAAAAAAGTTGTCTCAAACCCTTCTGTTGTGATCTAAATGACAGTTTTCAGTCATTCAATGAAGTCTAATTTTATTGCTAGGCTTATTACAATACTTTCTGCTAAATTTTGCTTATCGCCACGCTATCAAAATGTAAGTAATACACGAACAGTCATTCACCAAACGAATAATCTAGATTTGTTCTTTAACTGTTTTTCTGTTTAGCTACAAATTTTCAAAGACGCGAGTTCTTTTTGTAAATTCTAGAATAAGTTTCTAAATCCTAGATATTCCAATTTTTAAAAAATCTTCAAAAGTGTCAATAAAACTTCTCTTCTACGTAATTCCAGTGAAGAAGAAACACGAGAAAGAAAACAATAATATGTTTGGTTTTGTCAGCCCCTATCCATGTTTATCTTGTACGCGTGCGTCTAGATGAAAACAAAACGTAATTAAGATCTGTTTGTTTGTTTTTGTTTTAGGACTCACATTGTTAATACCAATTCGAATTCGTCAATTGATGTTCGTCTAGATGATCTCAAAACGCAACAAGTAAGGCGAAAATTGACCAACAGGGACATGGATGTACATGCTTCTTAATGTTTGTGGAGAGATGTTATCGTTGTATGTTCTTCATTATAACTTTTTTGCAAAACCATTTTTAAAGCCGGTGAGGATTTCAAAAGATATTTATACAACGTTGAAATAAAAAACACTGAACGCTTTCATCATCACTCTCACAGCTGGTGAACAGCTTGCATAAAAAAAACTTTACTTTCTTCAATGAGTGTCAAATTTTGACAAGTTTTTGCATCAGAAATCAATGGAAAAATCCATGACGAATACAATCGAAAAAGGTGTGGGCATGGGCATAGCCATAGGTGCGAGTATGATTGCGGTTATAGAGCAATGCCCAGCCCACACCAACATCCACGGGCCCACTTCTAGAGATTTATATGCCCATAACCAAGGGGAAAACAGCGGGGACTTCACGACTGAAGTCTCATGAAGTCTTGAAAGTCTTTCGAAGTCTTCTGAAGTCTTTCGAAGTCTTCTGAAGTCTTTCGAAGTCTTCTGAAGTCTTTCGAAGTCTTCTGAAGTCTTTCGAAGTCTTCTGAAGTCTTTCGAAGTCTTCTGAAGTCTCTTGAAGTCTTATGAATCCTCATAAAGTCTCTTGAAGTCTTCTGGAAGCTTTGAAATACATTTCATGCATGAAAATTCACAAGAAACCAATGAAATCGTCTTGTTTTCGACGGTCTTATTTTACTAGAAAGGTGAACTTTTTATTGTTTTTTTTAATGCACTGGAAAAAATTCAAGCTTGTTTGATCTTAGAAAACATGATAATTAATAAGTGAATGCTTTTTGAATGAAGTGGTTTATTTTTACAAGAAATTTTCCATCTATTCAAATCAATCTGATGAAGATTTTCAATCCTTTTTGTTTGTTTCTATCACTCGTGATAATCTATCAGCCGATAAACGGCTAACTTTGTCGGTCAATAACCACCAAGCCGTTTGCTTGTGTATAGGATGTGAGTGTAACCTCAAGCACTTAAAATGTCTGCGATACGTACAATCATATATTCAACATTACTCGTGTCATCGTAAAATATTCTAGATATAGATATGTTGCGAGAAACAATTCTCCGAAAGAAGAAACATTTTTGTATTCTCTATATGATAGGGGTGTCAATTTATATTTACTTTTCATTTAATTTACACGTAAATTAAATGAAAAGTAAATATAAATTGGCACCCCTAACTTCAACATTTTTCGGTTGAATGAGCATAGTTTCGAGAATATTTGCATATAAAAAAAGTCTTTTGGGAGCAATTAATTTTCAAAATCATTCTGTTCCTAGTGCTCGGAAGACGCTAGTTACTCCGTTATGAATCAGAGTGTCAGTTTATATTTACTTATCATTTAATTTACGCGTAAATTAAATGATAAGTAATTTGTATTTATTATAAAGTACATGGTAAATGATACCCTTACTTAATGATAAGCTTTTTTGCATGTTATAGAGGTTTCATTTAATTTCTATAAGTTTTTTTTGATACGCATGGAATCTGCCTTTTGAAGTCTTGTGAAGTCTTTTGAAATCTTACGAAGTCTTGTAAAGTCTTGTGAACTCCGATGAAGTTTTGTGAAGTCTTGTGAAGTCTTGTGAAGTTATTTGAAGTCCTATGAAGTCCGTTGAAGTCTCTTGAAGCCTCTTGAAGTCTTTTGAAGTCTTTTGAAGTCTTGAAGTCCGCTGTTTCCTCCTTACCCATAACCACAACCATGTAAACCATTAAGCCATGAAATCAGGACAATGCCTTTATTTTGTTAATGAGTTTATCAACACATATCAAGGGAATGTTAATAAACGGTTCTGGAACAAAGTATGTGACATCAAACGAGGTCAAAATATGAGAGGTTGTCATATGGTACCGGGAGAGCGTATCACCGGCTGGCTGTTGTAATTGTTTGACTTTAAAGAAAAATGTGATAGTGATCCACAGCAAATGTCTTTAAATACGATTGACGTACCCATGAACCTGGTAGAATTGTCAACAGGAGAAATAGTATAATATTACATGGTAGATGGATTCCATGGTATCCAGTCGATGAAAAAACAACACAAACCGGCCATGAATTTATCGATCATCCGAGAATCAGACGATAACGTTCAAAACAGCAAAATATAACAAACAAAAATGAAGAAACCGGGCTGGGTGAGTCATTTCATCGAGTCATTTCAAGAATTGTTTAGAACGTTTTACAGCTGAAATGTTTCGATCTCATTTTAGTGGCACTTAATCGAGTATACTTTGAGCTACAAAATGCTGTATAAAAACAAATTATATCGACTTCATAAGTTTAATCATATCATTTTCAAAGTAGCTGACTCGAAAAAATGACTTGAGTCTGATTCGAAGTTCGAGTCATTGTTTTTGAGAAGCATGGCGAAGCCTATGCAGCTAGTACAATTTAATGCTGTCAATAGTTTTGTCACCCACACTATCCTAGATTAAATGCCGCTAAAACTAGAGCGAAATATTTTAGCTGTAAAACGTTCTACAGCACTCTGGGAATGGCTCGGCCAGCCCTGGAAACTGTCATGAAAATCCAACAGATTCTGGCTTTTTTCTAAAAAAGAAGCGATGCATTGTTGTTTGTTTCGATAAGTTGTCTAAATAAATAGCCGTCAGCTTGTATTAAATCTGATAAAACCGAATAATTCATGCAATTCTCGTTAGGGTACTCCGATTCAGAACTCTAACGCTACATGCTTCAGCTGATTTTTGATAGATGGTGTAGCGTGGGTGTGAAGTGAGAGTGTGAGTATGAGTATGAGTATGAGTATGAGTATGAGTGTATCAGTGAAGATGACGAGAGTATTGAATCTCACACTCACCACACCCACACTCTATTATGACCTTTATTTTATTTGCTAGCGGAACCGACGCCAGAAAAAGTATATAAGAGCCATGTTTAAATAAGTTTTTACTGTTGCTTTCACCTCAACTGCAGAAAATAGTATTACATCAAATGCTTCACCTAATGTGAAATTGTTCTTGTTTTCCCAAAATTGTCTGAAAAAATCTTTGATTTGTTCACCGATACTTTCTTTGAAATGATTCTCTATCTATCTATCATTGATATTAAATCGCTTATTAGAAGGTTTTATCTCGCATTTCACAACAACCTATCGAAATCGACATTGTACCAAATATGATCATTCGATCCCATCGAAGAAAACTTATTTATTGGCTTGCTATACGTGCGAATTTTGAACATTTTGTCTTGACAACTATCAGTTGTCAGAATGCTGAGCTGGACAAGTGACAATTTTTTCAAATCATAAGTCAAGTCAAGAAAGTGTTTGATAGTCACAATGCTTTGAAAAACGGCTACGTTGATTGGTCTATCTAGCTGTTGTGCGGAACGAATTGAATGTCTCGGTTGTCGATGACAAAAAGCCAATCTTGTTCGATGGCGCGTACACCACTGAATGGCACTTTGAAGTTCTATTTGTTGGCCATCACCTCGAGTCACTTCGATGGTTTCGACTGGTGAATCATTTTGTATAAGCCTAACCTGAAGATTTGAGGCTCTATATGATGAATTTGATCTTGAGATAAGTTCACCGTATAGTAATTAGGCATGTACCGAGCCCGAGCCCAGACCGAGCTACTCGAGCTCGGTCGGCTCGGGCTCGGGCTCGGGCTCGGCCAGGCTCGGGCTCGGTCGGGCTCGGTCGAAGTCTGACTCTCTCAGGCTTGGTCGGCCTAGAGATAGAGCTCAGTCAGCCAAGGTCGAGTTTGGTCGGGCTCGGACTGAGTCAGACTCCGGTGGTCAGATTCGATCTATCTCGATTTATCTTCGTGTCGGTTTCCTAAATTTTGTCTTCTCATAAGTATTTTATTTATTTATTTTTGGTATGCATCAAGAGCGCTGCGTGGCTTGTACTNTTAAATTGATGTTGGATTAATCACTGACCGCTACTTTGCCTCGCATCATTTATTCCTCAACAAAATAATTATGTGGTTAATATGTGCTGAAAGTCTTGGTGACTAGGAATTAGTTAGTCATTATGTATAGAGAACTTGAGTGATTAACCAGAAATGTTTTAGTTAGACCAGCCTTCTGTTCAGGGCTACATTTAGCAATATAGATGTAGGGAAAGCATCGAACTCTTGAAACTAGACTGGATAGTGGGTTTGGGTTACTATGAATAGGTGGTCTCAAATTTTGTCGTCTTTCAGAGCTTAGTTTGAAAATACTCACAATTTCTTTCTTTCCCTACACTTTGTTGTTGTTCTTCAATATCGTGTTCATCTTCAATTTTACGAATGTGAAGAAGTTGATTCCAATCAATATGATTATTTTCAATAATAATGCTTTGAGTTTTATCTTTCTGAATGAGTTTTCCAAGTTGTTGTCGAATTTTATCGATTTGTTGTTTAAGTTGATCAATATCATTTTCAACAAAAATTTCTTCTTCTCGACGTGACCGAATTTCTTTTGTAATTGATTGAAGTTGTTTTGTTGCTTTGATTCGTTTTTTATCAATTAGCTCGGCAAGTTCATGTTGTGCCTTTTCTGCTGCTCTTTCAACTTTGTTAATTGTTGTTTGTTTCCATTGTTCAATTTGGGCAAAAAGATCCAATGACAAATAATTTGATTTTTCTAACTGTTGTATTTGATCCAGAAGTTCATCATGAGATCGAACTACTTCGTTATCAAATTTCATTGCCAATTGTTTTTCATGTTCTCTTAAATCCTTTGGACAAAATTGTTTATTGCATCCAAAGCAAAAGCGGATTCCTGGTGATTTATTGCAGATTGAACATAGATTTGGTTCATTTTTTGTTGCCATTTCTCTTAAAAGAAAATCAATCACGTTATATTATTTTATTATGCAAAAATGTGAATCTAGAATGAATCCATTTGAATATTTATAAGCTAAAAATATAAATTGTTTTATAAAGACAGAGAAACAGAATTATATTAATCTTTCACAGATTCTTATGTTTACGATTTAACAATTACACACCCTTCGCTCAACTTTGACTATCATAAACATTTCATGAATTCTTTCGGACGATGAATCAAGTCTTTTGAAAGAAAGCCATTTATGACAACAGTTCATCGTATATCTATTGCCTTGCTTTGATGTATTGTAATACATAAATGAAAAACAAACAGCATGGTATATTTGTAGCATAATAGAGGATCTTATGTTCAATTAAAATTTACTCACACTTACCAAACATTTTTTATCAGTTAACATGTGAATGAAAGATATTGGAAAATATAACCAATGCCCATATATATGACTATGGATGGTCTGTTCGCTCGAATTCCAGCAATTTTATTTCCAATAAATAAATGTAAATTCACAAATAATAGAGGCAATGCTGGAAAATTCCACACATTAACACAATGTGTGATTGCCTTATTCGAAAATAAGATGTTTCTACAATGATGAAAAGCTTCAGAAACTTATTTCAAGAAAAATCCCAAAATTAGCTTCATGGAAAAATACCGATCAAAAGAATTTCATCGCATTTAATTAACATTTTCGAGTATAATGAAAATAGGAGATTTTTTGTTCCATCTAAACATGCATAATTATAATTTATAATTCACCAAAACAGACATGTCAGAAACGCCTTTTGATCGATGTCTCGTTTTGGAGAAATACAGAATTTCACTAAAAAAAACTTCAGTTAAAGTGTTTTGTCCTAAACGAAATTAAATAATGAACATATTTTTACAAAGAAATCAATACTGATCCAAATTGAATTAATTATGGTTTCGTGTAATAACTTAGAATAGTAATATAAATTAGAAAGGTTAGCACTACTGCAAAACCGCATATTTGTAACCATCTCCATCTTTAATGAAAATAGTAGGTCTACACATACACTGTCATTCTTAATCATTTGGATTTAGTCATGATCCGACTAAATATGCTATTTAAAATATAAATTCAACAACATTAATTTTCAAGGCGAAATATTCGAAAGTTCTGTCTATTGTTCTAAAACAATTCAATCATAATCGCAAAAGTAATCGACGGCATATGTTAAGACTTTTACGTCTTTTCAAGATAATCTGGTTTATAGTTTCATTTTTGTTTCATGGATTAAAGATGAAACACTTGTCAATGACTGGGCAAAGAGATATGAGTTTTAGTTTTCAAATATTCTTTTATTTCTACTATTGGAACTGAATAGGTTTTCATGATCTTCTTTTGATCGAAAAGAAAATCTTTTNAATCCATTTTTCAATTACTGGCACTTTACTTTTCCACCCCCAAAGAAGTATAAAATTTCTGAAAATTTATTTAAGTCGACATTAAAAGGTTTTCATAATCCTCATCATTTAGTACCAATAAACCACATTTTTCACAGGCTTTCATTTGGTATAAAATTCATCATATCTTCTATTTGAAATTATAGCGGTACCCCCCTTGAATAATATTATTTCCCACCCTGCAGCTTTTAGATCCTATCCTTTCAGTTAAGAGAACTTGAACCAATTTATCCATAAAAATCAACGATATTTGAATCTGAATGTAGCATAAAGTATATTTTTAAACAATTGTTTACAGCAATAAATCCAAGAAACAATGTGACTCATACACAACATGAAAATCATACAATGATGCATATCGGTCAAGTCTGATTTATTTAGAATGGTATCAGTGTAGAAATAATCCTATCAGTTGCAATATTGTAAGTTAAAAATTATGGAAAATCCGAAACAATGTCGTCTTTTGAACTATTTATCCAATCACTACATCGCTGACGTGTAATGTTTACGAGCCATCGCTGCGAATGTGTCAGCCATTAACAAATGAAAGATTTTACAAACAGTGTCACCACGCAGAAAAAATATTGTGTAATAACTGTTCTTATATATATTAAGCAAAATTCTTACTGAATAGCTACTATATAGTTTTAAAAAAATGGGTTCGTCAAACAGAAAAATGCAAGTCCTTATCAATTTAAATAAAATCTTAAATCTTAATGACTTCAATGAAATCAAACGAATGGAAGCTGAATTTGAAAAAAATGGTTGGTGTTTTGTTTTATTAACAACTGAACTCATTCCAGACAAGGAATTAGTGAAAGAAATATCGACATTTTTTTCATCCAATAGTGGTAAGGATAGATATTCGCAATATATACCTGTATATGGATATTCGAAAATAGATCATAAAGAAGGAATAAAATTACTAACTGGAAGTTATTTTAATAGATTTGCAAATAAAGGCTTAGTACCAAGAACACTTGTTGAACCACTAAATTATCTTTCGCAAGCATTAGATGCTACTACAAAACGTTTGATTGAAGTTCTTGATCAACATTATATATTTCAAAAGAAACCATCTATATCAACTCTTATCGAACAAGCAAGTCTTCCATTACAGAAGGAACATTTTGGTATGCTTGATATTGTATCTTATTTCAATAAGAAAAGTGGATTTCAACCACCTGAAAATGGACAAACAACTGAAGAAGTTAATTGTGTTCCACATTATGATCCAGGTTTATTATCAATTAGTATTTTATCAACATTTGAAGGACTTCAGTTGAAAAATATGATAACTAATGAATGGATATATGGACCATTAAAGTCAAATATAGGAGTTGTTTGGTTAGGAGAAGCAGCATCTCGAATAACAGAAAATCGACTTAAACCAGGTATTCATCGAGTTGTTTATCCTCGAAAATCAAAACGACGACTTACAATTTGGTATGAGTTATGCACAATTGAACAGTTGAAAAGTATAAGTGCCGAAAAGAAGGATGAATTGATGCAAGAAGGAACCGTAATTTTTAAAAATCTTCCTGGATCAAATCCAATAGCTATTCGACGTGGCGAGAAACAACTCGATTTTTTAAAACGAATTGAAGAGGCTTATGGTTTATCTTCGAGTAAAATGGGTCCACCATTTTATCGTCTAGAAAAACATAATATTTCATATCCAATAGAACATTTAAAAAGTTAAATAAATAATAAACTATTATACATTTCTGGTTATTCGCATTTTCAATAAAGCTAGCGTAAAAACTGTGATTTCAGGTACGAGTATAGTGAACTTTGGGTAAAATGACAAGTAAGAAAATCTATATTTCTAAATAACTACAAAATAAAAATTTACCAGATCAAACGGTAATTTTAAAGATCTACTTACAATAATTCGATGGTAGTGACGGTCGCGTTTTCTCTCTATACTCAACTAATATCAGGTAATAATCTAGTTGTGCTAAGAATTATGTTCGCTGAAAACTAGGTAATAATTATTAGATCATAGTAAATATAACACTTCTGTCAAGTTTTAATCCAATAACTTTCTGGAGTTTTTGTCAAATTTAGAAGCAATTGTTCTGTTTGATGTGTAGTTTTGTCAAATCGATAAAACTATAATCCATTTCAAATTAAAAGCAGGGTGAGTATTTGTGGAATAATTTTCGATAGGAACTAGATATAGATCTGCAGTTTTCACCGTTTAAAAGAGAAAATGAAACTGCATCGAATCTTGAATGCCAGACTTTTCTGATAAGTTTTCTTAGGACTACCCGCCAAGTTTCTAAAACAGAAAACATTGTGTAATGTAAATATTTTGGAATTTTGTTTTTCAACAGTGCAACAGAATCATTAACTAAAGTTCAATAATCTGTACAATTTCGGCGTTAAAAGGCTTAGCCAATCAAGAGTTATTAATGTTTTACTAAACGTTTTCGGCAGATTTTTAACAAAAAATTGACATTTTTTCTAATTTTTTGACGAAAAATCCACTTTCTAAACCTATTAATAAGCCTCGATTTTTTAAAAAACTAGGCGGGTGGCTTTGAGAAAACTTATCAGAAAAGTCTGGTATTCAAGATTCGATGCAGTTTCATTTTCTCTTTTTAACGGTGAAAACCACAGATCTATATCTACAGGGTGTCCTGAAAGTCATTGACCAAAAGTTTTTTCGTATATCTTCACTATTTCATTTAACTTTATCAGTAAATTCTTTTTAAATTGTAGGTGAATATACCAAGTTTTTATTTATCCGAACGATCTTCCATATTATTGTGCAAAACTATCACCTTGGATCAAAATACAAAAATTTGGCTCTCTTTGTAAGAAGCGAGTAATTCAACAATCAACTGAGGTTTTTTCTTTGATATTTTCCTATGGTTAGATAGAGCTTGTCGAGTTCTACAAGAATATGTATATTGAAATTTTTTTAAACCTTTTCTTTGAAGCAAAATGTACAGAAGACTACTACAGGAAGCCGAAATAATTAAAGAAAAAAACGCTACATCATGTTTTTCTGGAAATAAAAGGAGCGCAAAATTTTTGTATCTTGATCCAAGGTGATAGTTTTGCACAATAATATGGAAGATCGTTCGGATAAATAAAAACTTGGTATATTCACCTATAATTTTAAAAAAATTTAGTGATAAAGTTAAATGAAATAGTAAAGATATACGAAAAAAAATTTTGGTCAATGACTTTTAGGACACCCTGTAGTTCCTATCGAAAATTATTCCAAAAATACTCACCCTTCTTTTAATTTGAAATGGATATTAGATAGTAGTGCATAAGATTTGAGTGCGTATTAAGGATATTGGTGTGAATCTTCTCTTCGTTGACACTCACACCCACACCCCACACCCCACACCAGAGATGAAACCAGTCTGAAATTTTTACAACCGGTACCGGTTCCATCTCTGCCTTGCTTTGCTGACCTAAAGTATACTGACCAAGTGATCCAACATTTCTTTTTTATTTCCATGGAACAAAAAAAAAAGAGTAATAACGATATAAAAGTGATCATGTAAAATCCAAACGACATGATAGTATTCGAACCAATAGAAGTTTTCATATAACTATATATAATAAAAGCAGGACAGTAACCAAAACAAACCAGCCACCGACCGGCAGTCGACCTGTGGACCGACAATCGACCGGTCTAAAACTCGTACCGGTACCGGCTCTATATCTAACCCACACCCCACACCCTTATTTCTTTACCGATTCTTTTTCTTTATTTTTTTATAATAGTGGAACGAAATGACAGGATGGCAATACTGGTTAGATAGAATCTGTGATTTTATCGTCCGTTCCACTATTATAAAAAAATAAAGAAAAAGAATCGATAAAGAAATAAATAACAAAAACTAAAATAGTAGTAGCATCAACTGAAGAAAGAGAAAGATATCTCCAGGGCCCGCGCGAAGGATCAAATATTAGGGGGGTGTATGGCGGATTTGGGGAGTGTAAGGGAGTATTTTCAGAAAAATCTTGCAGAAAAATCATAAAATCTGGACAAAAATCTGCACTTGTGACCGGAGAAAACCGAAAATTTTTGATTTTTCGGGGGGTCTACACCCCCCTACACCCCCCCGCTCGCGCGGGGCCTGGATATCTCCGAAACGTCTTAAATTTACTTTATAATAATAAGTATTATATTATGATAAATATTGATAAATATATGAAAATATAACTAATACTTCTAATCTAAGACAATCAAACAATCTCATCAATACAACCTAATCGAACTAAAAAAAATTTATGTTTAAAATATATAACGAACATAAGAACAGGAAAAGACATATTGAAAATAAACTCAAAACAGAAATAAAGATAAAAAACTTCAAATAATTATTTACTTCTTCAAATTCTGGGTGTGAGTGTGGATTTATTCTTTATTGACACTTACACCCACACCTACATCCGTCGTCATAAGAAATCTCAACCTTCTGCCTTGTTTTTTTTCTTTCTCTTTTCAAAATAAGAAAAAAATCGCAGCCAAGTACAAAATACAATAAGTTACATATTTTTCACTCTTACAAATTCGAAAATGTCGACGTGAAGTTGTTGAATGTAGCGATAGCTACGAAGTGTGTGAATGTGCTACTGTCGTTGGGTGTGGTTGTAGCTGGGTATGAACGTGGATGAAGTATCTGTCAAACAATTAGATCCGTTTTTTATACCTACACTCCGCCCCTACATCCAAACATGTTCACATTCACATGTAGATCGACATGCAGACCCAAAACACGATATAAAAACTTTTAGATGGTAAACATCCATCAATTAGAATGATATGTTTTAAATTGAAAGAAAGAGTGTTTAAAGATCTCTATAAATTTTCGATACTGAAAAAAACAATGTTTATACACGTAAAATTAAATTTGAATAACAGGTTTATTCATTTAAAAAAGATTTACTTTAGTCTTAATTCTTATTTGTTGTTCCAAAGATTTGGAAACTGTGAGAAGCGTGAAGAAAATTAAAAAACATTCAGAAACTGATTAAGTTTTGTGATAAAATGATTCGGGAACCCAACAGGCATTCTTGGATACCACTTTGGTATCAAATCAATTCTCTCAGATGAATCAATTTCCTGATATATTTTAACAATTTGTGAAAATATCCATTGAGTTGTCGACAGCAATAATACATATTCTAGAATGTTTTACGTGTGTTGAGTTCCATATTTCTGAAAATCTAAAGGTTCCCTGAATTTCAAAAACCAAGAAGGTATTTTTGAACATGTTGTGTGAGATTGGTAACCTCATCGAAAGTTAAGGTTTTTTGAAAAGGTTTCCGTCCGGATATGGGTGGATGAGGTGCATGCAAGTATAGCTTTCCTTTAATCACTATGGCACCCAACACACACTTTATTTTTAAGATGATGCGGATTATGGTTCTTTCTTGCATGTGTGTTAATGATGCCCTTAATTTATGTACAATCTTGATAGGGAATGTTACGGCACATATTGGCCCCTTCTCCTTTTTCTGCAGTGTGAATCATAATGATCGAACCAGAAACATGAGAATTTCTGCTAATTTGTAATAAGATTTCAGTGATATGACACTTATAGTAAAATGGCATCGATTTATTCTCGATTATTTGAAGCAGAGAGAAAACAATACTGAAATTGAATTACATCTTAGAATCAATGTCAACGTGTATTTTTATTTTAATAAAGATTGATCTTTTTCATCAGATTTAGTTGAGTATGTCACTTTTCGGATTCATTTTTCTTTGCATCATTTTACGTTGTCGTCAACAGGTGACAGTCATTTTGGAAGTACTTCACTAGAAGATCCTTCGAAATGAAAACTAGAATTAACACGAAACACTTGAAATTCTATCCAAAGAAACGAAAATATCAAATTACATTGTAAAATCTGTATAAGGTGTCTTTTCAACATTGACTTCAACCACTGAAACACCTTTAGCAGCGATCATTCGGGCAAAACCTGCTGCTGGATAGACAACACCCGATGTTTCTACCTTCAAGTAGATCATTAGAAACACATGAAAAAGACAGAAACATACGACTAAAAATAGATCACAACGATTTAGCTCATCAGTGATTATATCGATAATATCAGGCCATAATGATTCTTCAAACCAGACAACATGAGATCGAACAAATGATTGACATTTACGACCACTAGGAAGATCTTTAGTTGGAATTTCAGGTCCACTTTCATTTGGTAATCTAAAAAGGATTCATTGTAATCAAAGCTAAACCTGCGAAATAAAGAGAAACATGTTCCTACCCTCGATTTCGTAGAGCTTCACAAATTGGACTGTCATTATTTTCTTCAATAAAACCACATGATGTACATCGCGTTGTGAAAAGATTACCTATTCAAGATCGTTTCATTATAAAAAGAAAAAATATTCTTATATATTATTAACCATGCATCTCAATAAGGTTACTAGAGCCTGCTCGTAGATGAAGTCCTAGTCAAAGAAAAACAAAGCATAATTATCAATATTATCTCATTCAAACTGACTATCAACATTCTGAGTTATGAGAAGAAACTTTTTTCCTTCTTTCTCAAGGAGTTTTTCAGTTTCGACCAATGCCAAATGACCCTAAGAAAAAAACAATTCATTTTAAAGTTGTAATAAGAATCATGAAATATCAATCAAGAAACTTTATTTAGTTGTTTTGTTCGAGCGAGTTCTCGTCGATAATGATAGAAATCCTAAACAAGTGAGGGTGATTTAGCAAAAGCTGTTGGTGTAGCTACGTCCTACGTATTGAAATAACTAAACTTAACAGATAATTTACAATAAATATAAGACAAACGGTGGCATTGAATTGCCGCCACAGTCCTCCCTCTCCTCGGAATGTTGAAACACCAGATTCTGCAGAAATCCCTGCACCAGTCAAAACTACTATTGATCGTGATTTGGCTAATAATTGACGGAATTCGTCGATCTTTGAATCAGTCTGCTTATAAAATTCATAGTTCTGATGAATAAAATATAAATTATGCCATACCGTAGTACCGGTCATATTTTGAGTGAACTCTACAAAGGAAAACAAACCATCCTTTAGAACTATAGGAAAATACTAGTATCGACAGAATAGATGCATGTACTGATACTGTCGTCACATTTTATATCACTTATTATCCTTTATCATAGAAATTTAAGTCATGTACATGACATTTTTGTTGTTCTTACCAAGTAAATGAAATTTTTGTATCGCCTACAACACTACCTTAGTAGCTGTTAACCTTTACATAAGGAGAATAATTTAAGAGGGACCCTTTCCCCCTTCAAAAAAAAGTCAATTTTGGTCAAATTTATCGATTTTGTGATTTATAACTCGTTACATAGAGCAAAGTGTCTACTCTCGAATGCACTATAGTTGATTGATTTTATGATGAGGTTAAAAGATATTACATACGATTTTCTGAACCTTCATATTGAAAAAATAAGGTTTTTAAGAACTTATTTTCCGTTATTCTCAAAATCCATTTTTTCGAGTACACTGTTTACGCGGGCAAACCTTACTCAATAACGACTCAATATAAAAGTAGTAATACTTTTTTGTTATAGAGCAGACACTTAGGGCTAGATCCTAATAGACCCCGATTTTTGAAGTTCTCCTTTGTTGAAATAAAAAACTTAGATCTTTAATTTTAATTAGCGATTTTTTGGTCCCGGATTTGAGAATTTTCGGGAAAAGTTTTTTTTAAAAAGCAAACAAAGAGAAATTAAAAAATCGGGTTCTATTAGGATCTAGCCCTATGGGTGCTCTACAAATTGAAAACCACGCAGTACGCGGTTCCAAATATCAATTAAAATGCCACTTCTTCATAAAATTGTATTGACCCTCTGACAAGAGAATATCCCCAGGTCTGTCCTGAGAATTTCAATGAAAATGATATAGGATTGTTAAATGAAGGGTACCTATCTCTGGTGTCAAACAATTAGGTGCTCCTAAGGTCTTAGTAAAAAATTATAGGCAAAACAGTTTTCGAAAAATTGACACATACCTTGCTATGCAGATTTTTTCTTATAGCGTTTTTCAAAACTTTAGTCCATTGACTCTCTGAATGTTATATATCTCGTGCGATTTGTATGTTCTCTGTGCTTCTGTTTTATATTGCCCTGGATCCTGTATATTAAATGTATCAATTATATATCTCTGTATATTTGTTAGCGTTAGCGACGGATCACACTAACACTAAAACGATGATTAACATGCGCCTTTTAGTCTAATTGACTTAAAACATCTGCCCAGATAGTAAACGGTTTTAGTTCAAGTTCCATGAAGGCCAGCTTTTCCATCGTTCTGTGACATAACCTCAGTGGCACTGCTTGTCCCTTTCGTTCTACACATATATGTGCTAACAATATTCATGTTTTCTTCTCCAGGTCTTTGTACTCACTATGTCTTTGTTTTACTGATATCTATCTATCTGATATTCTTCTTGTATTCCTTCGCTCTCTCGATCTATAAATAGACCAGGGTAGTCGAAATAAATTATTTAATATCTTTGACGATCTCTGAAGTGATATATTACGGTGTTGTCAATATAAATATGATCAGTGATAACAATATTCTTTACATGTTTAATAATCTGGTGCATCAGAAATATTCAGAAACCACTCAAACTGAACTAGCATTCAACGATTATGAGCTGGCGGATCAATTATTTGTATTGTTTTCAACCAACTATTAACTTCAACAGATCAGAGCTGGGCAACTCAACTCAAAAAGCTGTCCAATTCGATTCAATTCATTGAAAGAACAGTTCGATTCTATTCAATTCATATAATTTCAGAATTTTCTAGAGTTCAATTCATACCTGCTGAAAAACATTTTCCGACTCAATTCAACTCAATTTATGTATGCTGAAAAACTTTCTAAAATTCAATTCAACTCAATTCGATTACTGAATTGAGTTGAAATCAACTCAGTCTTATTACGAAATTCTATGTAACATATTTTGTTTTGGTTTATCCTTAGTTGAATGCGTTAAAAGGAATTTATTGTTGTTCATCATATAAAAATCGATTCATTGTAAACGAAACACAATGGAGTAATCAGAAAACTTCAAATCAATTAATAAAAAAAACTAAATGTTAAATAATAAGCAAAGAAATAGTGGAGAAAAAATTGATGAAGTTTGATAAAAATAATATCCTAAAGCATATATATAATATAGACCACGATTACATTTGAGCATTGTTAATTGTTGTAAAGTAGTTCGTGTCATTGATGCAAGATGTTGACGAAATAGAAATTCGCTCTGACTAAAAACACGTTCAACCGAAGCAGAAGTTGCAGATATCGACAGAACTTTCATTGCTAATTTTGAAAGAGTTGCATAAATGTTCGAAGATTTTAAAAGAACCATAGCATCTTCATTTTCATCACTCAAGTATTTGAATATCTCATCTTTAATATAGTTGAATGGATCCGACTTACGTTTTTTGTTTCCTTCACAATGTTGGGAATAAGTATTTTCTTTTTGGTGTAATTGGACTTGTCGCAGAACTAGCAGATAATGATTGTGTTTGTGCTATTGGACTTAACATTGGATTATCATTATTTGATGTTCCAAGTGGTGCATTAGCTCGTTCAATTAAAATACATTGGTTGGGTGTGGGTTTGTGCTTTTCTTTTCATTCTACATCCACACCCACCCACACCCACACCTACACCCGATATCAAGTGTAGTGATCGTCTGTTAAATAGGAAATAGGTGATAGAGTGAAAGAAATAAGAGAAGAATGTTACTTTGCTGTGTTTAAGAGTATTAGCAAGATATATTGCTCCTTGTAGACCCATTTTATTTTTTCACAGTTGAAGTGTGGTTAGTGTCCGTGTAAAAAATGTTGAAAAGGTCAAACAGATTAAAGGCTTACTAGTAAATCTCATGGTTGAACGTTTTGTTTAATGTCGAGTATAGGAAAAAGTTAATAGAAACTTATGCTATATATTATGTTCAGGAGAACAGTACGCACTTATATTGTCTGGTACATAGATCATTACAATGAATGCAAAATATTTATAATAAACCTCCTAAACCTCACAAGTTCTGGCTTAGAAAACAAGTCGGTATGTACGCCGAAGACTGAATAGGTTTTTGAGCAGTCAACAAAAGTTTACACCAGTTATTACTTAAGAAAAACGACAGTTTCCGATTATTAGAGATTATGATTCCTTCTCCATTTGCTCATGACAATACCACATTGATCAGTATATTTTTCTGAAGGGTGGTATAGTTGTGTGAATCTGTCACATAGTTCGAAATGTGTAATAGACAAGCATTAAACTAAGATCAATAACTTGTTCTACTCACTTGAGAGAAATAGAAACAAAACAAGAATATAGAGATGAAAAGAAATGTACACGAGTAGTAACAACTTGAGTATATGTATGTGTGATGACTCATCAGAAGGACGTGAAAGAAAAGAAAAACAACATAATACAATAATATATGTCATCAAATGACACAATCATTTTAATTACCATATATGGTATTAAAATACTCTTCATATATTACGCTTTTAGAAGTTGGAGTAATGTTTTCAAAATATATGATTTATCACAAATATTCGGATTGAACAGTTCTTACATTGGCTTTTTTATTTTATCTGATACTTATTCTCAGAGGCAATTTTTTTTTTCAGTATGGTTCTATCTAGAACATTTTGAGATTAACAATAGAAATCATAAACAGAGTTGGAATATCTTGTCAGAATGAATAATATTTTGAATATAACGAAAATAAGACGCTGAGATACAGAAAAAGTTTACCTTGTATCGATGATAGCTGTCCATGATTGTGTTAATATGCGTACAGATGTTTCGCATTGTGCAAAACATACTGAAATCGTCAAGATAGTTAAGAATTCGGTAGATAAGTTCTTTTGGTGAGGTATGAAGAGATGGTTTAATTTTGTCAGTTATTGTAGAACTATTACGATGTTTGTTCTTTGTGTTGTGCGTGTGCTCGAAAGTTTTCTTTCATTTTAAATATTTACATCTGTTCTATTTTATAAAGTTTTTCATGCTTGTGCAATTACTTGTTCACACGTCACATTGCACATGACTGAGTAACGACAATGATAAAATTCAAGGTGCGTCAGAAAATGAAGACCAACGTCATGGGCCTCTCGATCACTAAGCTTCACACTATTGAACTAACTATATAGAAATCGACATAATAAAAATAAAAAGCTCTATGATTTTTTCTTAATTGCAAAATATGTAAAAATTTTTGTATTGAAGTCAAACTTATTATACTTTTGAAGAATATTCATGAAAAATAACTTACTGCTCTTTTCTTTCAAATAAAAAAAAAATATTACATTAAGTTTGATCAATAAGGAATTGCTGTCGTTTAAATACAACATTTTTTTTTAATGTAATATACAAGAATAGGATCGAAGTGAAAAATCTCTAGCAAACCAGAGTTATTTTCTAAGGATAATTAATTGCCAGAGATATGATCTGTCTTATTTATTTCTTCATTTCGAATGGAATTTTTTTACTGATACTCTTTAGAAACATTAATATTGATTATTTCTCAAAGTTATAATTATATTAGTTCACACTTTTTATATTGATCATATGATGCTAGTAGCAAATCAGTGCATTATTAACCATCATCCTTGATATCCTGAATATAAATTTCTATCTGTACAATAATCAAAACTTGCACTATTTAGAAGACTCAAAAACATATTCCAGTCATTCAAATATTGAGAAAGGCTGTGAAATACTCTAGAACAATCTTTGTCTTGTCGTCAATCCCTTTTTTCTGTTACTAAAGAGGGAGAGTCGCAAAACCTTGATTTAATAGCCATAATGTGAGTTCCACAAAAAGTTACTTTACTATGTAAAAAAGAAGAAAAAATGCTAAGTAAATAAAGCATAAATAAATATTGACTGTTCATGAATTTTATGTAATCGATGAAAATAAATCGAATAAAGAAAGTAGAAAATCAAGAATTGTTCACAAATATGCGTTATTGAGAGGTGAATCTATCCTGCAACATGTGTCGTTAAATTAGTCATAAGTTCATCGACTATAGTACAATGTTTTGGATCAGATATAGATCTTGTTCCAAGTAAATGCAAAAGTTTTTTAACCTATAAATAAAAAAAAAACAATAATAACAAATAATAAACAAATAGCTTGATATTCATATCGAACTTGATCAGCAATTTTTTGTTTTTCTTCTGAATCAAGTTATTGCTAGAATTATACAATAAACAATATTAAATGTTTTTTGTTCGTTTTTGTCCACGTGAAAATAGAAAAGGTTATTAAGTACGATTGAAAGTTTTCTGCAAAAATTATCCAATTTACAAGTGAAACAAAGAAATCTTCAATTTTCAGTAATAGTTGATATTAGTAAAATAGAATAAGCTCGCTAGATTTATCTTTTATATATTAATTGTAAATATGAAAAAAAAATACAAATAATATTAAACACACATACAAATTAAGAATCCATTGAAGTTCATTCATTGAAAGAATTGTGCAACAAATAGTAGGCTAGTTATTGCTGCCAAAAGTTTGATAGTTACTGTTTTTGTTGTTGCTCCATTACATAAATCGCCTTTACAACAATATTTCATTTTATCAGTAGGCGTACAATCAAGACCACCACTGCCTCGATTTTCAATACCCAACGCACTCGTTTTCTACAAAGAATAGTACCAAATCTAAATCTTCGACAAAGAAAAGTTTTTAAAATTTATATATGTATATACTTGACAGTAATCATTGTCTCCAACGGTAACTTTGTTAACACCTTCTTTATTTTCCTTGAATGGTTCAGGACATGCAGTACATTCATAGCATTGCTTAGCAATGCTTCCAATAATAACTACGTTAAGAAAAAAGATTTTAATCAGATTCAAAATGCACAATTTAAAAAAGAATATGAACCTGATAGTAACACGAAAGTAATGGGAAGTTTGGTGTTCATATTGAGTATCAATATATATATATACGTATATAAGAGTACATGCTGGAAAAGGAATAAAGTACAACCTTATATATAGTTGATGTTATCCATTTCCTTATAAAGAGAAAGATAGAGAAAGAAAAAGTCATTATTATATGTATGTAAGCGATTGATGGATTTTTTTTACTCTACGAACTTTAAGGTCCTTTGTGATATAGTCAACTAACACGAGGATACTTTAAGATCAGTTACATTCTTTTTCTATATATAGTGATAGGAATTCGCGAAATAAGATGAGCACAAAAGAAAGTTATTTGGTAGGTTACATAAAAAAAGTGAAAAGATATACGTAATTCTATGTACACAATTTTTTACGACTACTAAAAATTTCTTTTGATCAAATATTTCTATTTTATTATTGATTATAAAGATACATTATTTTTTTTCATTCAACACGAAACATGATAGTTTTTGATATCTCCGAAATCGCAAAATATTGTGTTGAAACAAAGGTTTTAGACTTTTTTTTAAAATTATTTTATTACTGATAATAAACTTTAAAAGATATCGGTAGTAAACCACTATGTAGTTACTCGAAAGATAATAAATAGATACACAATAAGATTTGCATAATGACACACAAAAAGAGAAGCTAACAAACAATGAAAAAGACGATTGAGGGTAATCAAGGACGAGTAAAATAAATACACGTGTCAAAGACAAGGATAGGGAGAGATACTTAGTATGATTATGAATAGGACTCATATTAACGGAGGCGAAATTTTTATTTTGTGTACTCCTAATAAAAAAAATATACCAACCGAAAGAGTGCGAAAAACTGAATCTAATGATGTAGTTTCCATGGAGGGATACTCCCAAGTTCCCAGAAAAAAATTTAAAAAAAAACATTTAGTAAGTTCTATCATAATGTTTCGTTCTTTCGCCTTTTTTTTTCTTCCTGTACATATATATTGACTCAAGATATATGTGCAGGAAGAAAAATAACTTCAATTATTATATTACTTTGTCAAGATTTATTGAATTAATAAAATATCTATTCCAATATAGGTTATGTTTAGTTTTATAAAAACATGTAAAAAATTTATTTTTTTATTTAATACAAATTTTATCTAATGATCTTGTTTTAAGTTCATCTATTAGTTTACCCTAGTTCGTACAAAAAAAAACTATTGAACAATTTATTACAATAGTTCAGATATATGATAAAAGTCTTGATGAGAAAAGATCATTGCTTAAGTGTTCATGAAAAATTATTTTACATGCTGGTTGATATTGTTTCTTTTGTAAGTTCAACAGATGTTTGAATTGACTATAAAATTAAAAAAAAAAGAAAATTGACATTGAATAAAAACAAAAAAGTTTTTTTCTCTTGATTTGTGAAGATATATTTTAATATAACAATTACAAAGATTCATGTCTTATAGATATGAGAGAATACTGCAATAAGAAAAAAAATACTGACGACAAGTAATACATGAACAAATCGATTTAGAAAAAAAATAATGCTTTCCATTTTTTATCTTTTTATTTCGATTGATTTTTTTTTTGATAAATAAAACACGTTTTAAACAAATGGATGTACAAAGAAAAAAATGACAATATTAATGTCGGCGCCAGAAATAGATGGGTAAAACTCTAGAACGAATATCTCCACAATAGTAGCAGCTAGAATCCTGCGATTGTCACTATTGGAAGGAGCTAGATCGGGGGGGGGGGGGGGGGGGGGGGGAGCCACAGATCGAAAAGATTGAATGGGATGGGGGG